TGTGTGTGTGTGTGTGTGTGTGTGTGTGTGTGTGTGTGTGTGTGTGTGTGTGTGTGTGTGTGTGTGTGTGCTTATTTTACCCAAAATTACAATGGGACTTGGGGCCAAAGGTGGAAGGTTTTTTGTTGCAGTAGGGTTGGGGGTAACGCTCCAAATAAAGAAAAAACACATTCTCATAATCTGACCCAGCGAGTAGAAAATGTCTTCTTTTGCTGTTATTCTCACTTTTAAAATAAAAAAATATATTCATACTGATGCAGTAATTTGTGACACCATAAGAATTCCAAACTGAGAATTAACATTAAGGTTTACAGCTAGAGTAAGTCTACAGTAATGCTTAGGTTAAAGTTTGATGTACACTTTTTGTATATTATGAGTCTGCTACAAATTCCAGTGCCTCTCCCAACCCAAATGATGCCAAATGATGACAGTGGAGGATCTCATCTCTGCTGCTTGGCCTTACAATCTGGCAAAAAATGGCTTGAGATTTTTTTCTTAACACATTGTGTAGGTGGGGAAAATTGCAAAAACAGTAGACTTGTTGGAATTTTTTGTTTTGTTTTCAACTTCTGATGTCTGTTTTTTAAAAAAACGTACAAAAGAAGTGGGCAAAACCTGGAAACATACAAAACATGTGAAGCCTGCACTGGAGTTCTAGTTACCTGTGATAAAGTGGCACCAGATTCAGTTATTTATGGGTAAAATCTTGAGTCTTCTGTTCTTTTGTTGTTCTCACCTTTATATCATCCCACACTGCTAGAATATTTGCTGGGTAGTTTTCAACATAAGTATGCAAACAACAACTTGCCTCACCAGTGAACTGGGTACACATTTTACTGACCTGGAAAGGAAGGCTGAATCAACCTTGAGCCAAATACGTGAACTAGTTAGGATCAATCTGAGGTCATGAGCAGAGGCTTGACTGCAGTACTGGAGTTTAACCACTGTGCCATGGGGCTCAGCTCTGTTTGTATTACAGAATCACAATAATGATGAGCAGTACGCATATCAAACAGAACAAACGAGGCAAAAACATGGTGTCTTAAAGATTGTTATATTTTAATGTAAGCTTTCATGGATCAAGTCCACTTTCTCAGATTGAAGAGTGAGACTATACAACTGTCATATTTACAAACTGCCTCATGACTAGGTGAGGATACAGATGTGAGACAAAGTAGCAATGGTTCATCAGTAAAGGAATAGGCTATCAGGCAGGGAATAATTGAAATTATCATTCTATAAGGTAACAATTCGATTCTTCAAGAAAGCGTGGGTTTATGAATGTAGGATATTGTGTTTCTGTATCTATGGTTCAAAATGCCAAGAAAAGGACTGATATTGCTGCACAATATAGTGCCCATGTTGCCAGCAGGAAAAAAATGTCAAATTTGCATAACAAAGACCAGTCTGAATGTCGACAACACCAAAGGCAGCAAGCAACATGGTCAACAGGATACCCTCTTGTGATCTCTACTATTCATAAGGTGACACCAAGCAAAGGAAAATCCTAGTAGGTGACTCCTTGTTTATCAGTTGACCACTTCTTGCCCAAACACAAAGCAATTAGCAGTGCTGTTTTTCAACAAGTTCTCTAGTTATATATTGTTTGGAGCCACAAAGTAGTTAAAATTCTTAGAAGAAATGGTAGTGAGCACAAGAGGGTGTCCCACAGATCATTTGACTGCTGACATGGGTGTTGTCAACATTCAGGCTACCAATTGCTATGTAAAGTTTGGCATCCCTTTTCCTACTGGCATGATACTGTGCAGCAACATCATACAATTTCCTTGTGTTTGAATTGTAGGTACAGAGAAATAATATCCCACATTAATAAATGGGAGGTTTTTAAATAAACGAATTTACTAACACTTAACCTCAGTCCAACAGCAAATGTAGTTTAGAACAGGGACCTCATAGTCTTTTTATCATTTGAACAATAATGTGAGGCTTTATGTTTCAAGGTTTTTTTAGAAAAACCTAATCACAACATATTTTAAGATTTGATTTATAATTTTAATGACAAAAGAATAGTCTAAATGTTTTGCACTCACAACTAACTGAATGGCTTGCATAAATGAATAGATCAACAAATAACAGAAGTTCTCCCAGATTTTATCTTTTATGGTTGTTCTGGGTTTTTCGGGCTCTTTGGCCGTGTTCTGAAGTTGTTCTTCCTGATGTTTCACCAGTCTCTGTGGCCGGCATCTTCAGAGACAAGGATGGGGGATCACTACACACAAAAAGCCAGCTAATGACACCCATCAATCACAGTGACAGATAATCTCTCCTGCTTATCACAACAATACACCCACAACAAGACACACTAATCATCGATCTCCAGAAAAGGACAAAAGCCTATTTCACAGCTATAAATACTCCACTCCCAAGCAAACTACACCAGAGCACAGAGTGCTGTCCTCTGAAAAACCCACAACAACCATTAGATCCCGGCCGTGAAAGCCTTCACGAATATATTTATCTTTTATCTTTGTCATTCTGATTTGGAGGACACCTTGAAAATATTGTTTAGTGACAAATTAATTTTCATCATACATCAAACAGTTATTATGCTCTTTGTGCAAAGAAAGTAGGGACTATGTGAGCACAGGGCTTAGAAAACTGGGAATGACATTCAGATAGTGATAGACTATCCTATCTTGCACACATAATGAGAATACAGAACTGACCAAAAAAGACAATACTGCTGGGAAAAATTGATGAGGAAGAGGGGGAGTAGGAAAAGAGGAACACTTAACATGAGACTCCACTTGACTCAATAAAGGAAGCCACATATGTTAATCTGAACAGAACTTACTGGAAAAGATAATATTGCTAGGAAGGAGAGGCAGTAGGAAGAGAGAAAAGCCTAACATGGGATGTTGGTTTGCAAGATCTGATCAGAGTTCTTAATGGTTGGACATTTGGGAGGTCTTTAACTCATAGTCACTACACATCACAAGTGAATTAATGACACATATCAACTTGGGACTTTTAATTGTAAAGTGACAAGATGGCTGGAATAGTCTTGTCCTGATTTATAGGGTCAAAAGGTAGGTAGGTAGGTAGGTAGGTAGGTAGGTAGGTAGGTTGGTTGGTTGGTTGGTTGGTTGGTTGGTTGGTTAGTTGGTTAGTTGGTTAGTTGGTTAGTTGGTTAGTTGGTTAGTTGGTTAGTTGGTTAGTTAGTTAGTTAGTTAGTTCAGTTGCCCCAGACATGGAGCTGATTCCTCTTTTGAAAACTTATATGCGGAGACTCTTTGGTCTCAGAAATCCTGAGAAAATGTGGGCTTTTTCAGTCTTTAAAGAAAACCTCTCTTTGACTTTCCCATGACCTTTCCCTGCCCTACAGCCTTCTCTACAGGAAGCTACAACATTGTATCTATTTTCAACACTCTTGCTGATAAGCCTGTTACACACATGATTAGCCTTATAACAAAGTCACCTCTTTCCCTTCGGAAGGCCTTTTTTAAGGATCAACATTTCAGCTCTCGGAGCCTGGATTTTTCCCAAATTTAAAAAAGCAAGCAGGGCCAAACCTTCTCTTTCAAAATAAGCAAGATTGGTCTTTTAAAATTTATATGAGCTATTTTAAATTCGAGAACATCTAGCATCACCCATTCCTCAATGGGGGGATAGTTTTATATTTTTTTAAATCACAATTTAACTGACTGGTTCTGACTGCCCAAACACAGAGCAAGGGCAAAATCAATCAGCTACAGTTATACCAAATGTGGTGCTGATCTGAAGCCCAGTTTAAAAATTATAATTTTTTGTTTGGGCTGCCCCTATTAGTGCTTTTATAAATTTGTAGCACAAATCCTTTCTGCACACATACTGAGTCATGTAACTAAACTTCCTGTTTTAATTCTGAAAATCTATTTCCCACTTTTCTGAAATCACAGTATGGATCACACTCGGGCTTTTCTGACACTTCTGGTTCTGCTGGTTTTGCTCTTTTATACCAAAACCAAAGAAAAATTTGGGGAGACCTCCCTTTGCAACACATAACAAGCAGTTATGTATTAACATCTATTTTAGTTTATTCAAAGTAGTAGAGTAATTGTCTTCTAGAACGTATATATCACACTAGCCAATTTTAGTCTGAATAGTTATGCAAATCCTGAAGGAAGATGAATGCAGACAGTCATCTTGTTTGAAAGACTGTGAACATATTGTTGCAAATACAGGAGCAATATATTTCTGCATTTATCTAACTTGCTTCCTGTTGACTTGTTTCAGTCCCTTCATTTTTCATTGAAGGTAGTTTGGTCAACAAGACAAACAGCTGTATTGGTTTGAAAGTATCATCTTTATCAACAGCATCCATTTTGTGACAACTTTTGTGAAACATATTTTCATATTACAACACATATATTGCTTCTTTTAGAATTAGATATTGGATTCTTCATGGGCTTGGGATGTAAAAAATATGAAGTCTTATTATCTCTAGGCTATCTATTTTCCTGCACATAGAAGGGGTGTGTGTGGAATGCCCCATCCCAAATTCTGTTGCCTGAGATATTATTTTGTATTTTAATATAATCAATGAATCTCTATTGGTGATAATAACAGATTTTCAAGACTCAGAATTATTTATGTGTAGGACTCTAGCATATAATCACATATTTATATCAGGAAAAACCACAGAAGCATATTCTATTTTTA